GAATGAGAAGAGACTGCCAGAGACCAAGATACAGAAGAAAGCAAAGTGGATATCAGCATAGATGGTAAAAATTGCTAAGAAAAGAAGAGAAGCCACAGCCAAGAAAGAATTTGAAAGATCAAAGAATTTCAGAGAGTTGTTAAAGAGACAAGTAGTGGTACATGTCAGTCCTTCAAGGTAGGACAGGTTTACCGCAAAGACTACTGGAACTCTATTGTTATAGGGTATAACAACAGAATCTTGGAAGTCTGGCAGAGTTTCCCATTGCCCCCTTTTATACCAAAGACAATTAAGGAAGGGTAATCTTAAGTTTCTTTCTTATCCTCCTTCCCTCTTTCACAGGGTTGAGTTGATGTATACTTAACTGCTGTTGCGTTCCTTTTTCAAGGTTATCTCCATACTCCTCTACAACCATCTCCCCACATCAGACTCAGCTTCCCCTCCCACATGCAGAGACATAGTGCTATGAGACCTATCTACAGACTCACCCTCCCCATCCTTGCTTGGCAAGTCACCAGACAAGTCTTGCCACAGAGTCAAATGGAGCTAGAAAGCCTTCTCTCCCTTTGTTTTATAAAGCAACCTGTAGGGGAAAGTCTATTGCAGTGGGAAGCAGAGAGTCCTCTTCATCCTGGGGTTCACTTTCTCTTGAGAGTGATGGTAGATTGTACAGAGGGGGCTTGTGTGGAAATTTCAGATGAAACTGGAGTACAAGGTGTAGGGCATGGACATCTATTGTATTTTTCTATGACTTCTTAGATTCAGAGTAGCTCATCCAGTGAATCAGATATTCCAAGTGTCACCTGTTGTGTCTAGAATCCAGAATATATTTCACTTCATATTCTTCTTCCCCATCTATCAGCAAGGGAGGGGGAGGCAGTTTTAGGTCACAAGGGGCATGGGGGTTCCTCACAAACAAGAACTGATTGATGGAATACCAGGTGACTCTTCATTGAAGCAAGCAGTTGTGACTGGGAAGTGGCCAATAAACATCAAGTCTAGCTTTATAGATGGTTGTACAGAAGGTAAACATTCAGTGGAAAGCTACACCAAATCCTCACCACAATCTTGGTGCCTTCTTATCTGTGCGTGGCCCACTAGTATGTAGCCTTTGCCAAATCTAACTGAGCAGCCTTCCTCTTCTGCAGAAGGTCCAAGGAACAGCAGATGCTGGAGCTCTGGAAGGCAAGATGTGGGGGTGGTAGCCATAAACTGCCTGATAGACATGCCTATGGAAGAAAGTATTGAGTTGTTATACACACATTCTGAAAAAGACAATTCAGTCCAATTGTCCTGCTGATAAAATACATAGAACCTCAAGTACTACTCTAATAATTGGTTCACATTATCTATTTGCCTAGTAGAGGCCAGATGACAAATTAATTTGAATATCTAATAGTAGGAAGAGGCTCTTCCAAAACATGGAGGTAAATGGAGAGTCACAATCCAAGATCATCTGATTTACTAAATCTCTGTATCTAAAAATGTGGTTTAGAAAAAGTTACAGTATATAGTCTCCAGAGGCGAAAGAAGGCCCTTGAAATGAATAAATTATCTTGGTAAATAAGTATCACCAAAATAGTCATGTAACTGTACAGGGGGGAAGATCAGCAATAAAATCCACTGAAACAGATCCTTTGGTTCCAACAGTGAAAGGAGGTATTGAGATAAACCAGCCAGCTTTCCGGTAACAAATGTGAGAAGGTGAAACACAGTCCTTGACATCTGCTTTCACCCTCAGTCACTAGCACCTGGTGCGAAGTTTCAAATACTTCCCCATGTCCAGCAGTTTCTATTATTATGTCAGAGTTGCAATCTCTCTTTCCTCAAAGAAAGGGGAACGTATAAATGGCCATTGTGATACAACTGTTCATCATTCACAGAGAAAGGGAAGAATCAGTCTGTGGGGCTCCCTGGTCCACATCTGAGCCCTGACATATGCATCTTCTTCTTGCTGTAATCTCATTTGATAGAGCAGATCTACTGCCTGTTTTCCTGCCCCCAGCCTTTCAGGACGTCTGTTCTGTGGGGAAGGGCAAAACTGTTTGGCTTCAGGATTGTGGTAGGGAGAGATGAGCATGAAATAACATATTCATGTTTACATGATAGTGTATCTGGTAGTTTTTTTCTGTAAGTCAGGAATATAAGTGATGTAAAAAATTGAAACAGGAGAAGAATCATGCCAACCTGATTTTACTAACAGTTTTGCAATCTTTTGTGAGTAATTCTATTTAGACAAGCATAGCCTTAAGTACTTTACACATTTTTCCCTCTAGATTTGCATTGGTTCTCAAAGCGTTTTAAATAAGCAATCTTAACACTATATGATGTGAACCCATATTTGTTCCTAGCTTATGTGCCATTCAGTCTGCAGTTACACCTCTTCCACTCCAGGAAAGTACTTACGAAATTAGATGGCATTTTATCATCTGTCAGATTGAACATACAATAGGCGATTGGCCAGTTATACCCTGGCAGGTAAACCTTTGATCTTATTTCTTCTAGCTTCAATTTTAGCTGGGTTCTAGGGTCATCTAGCCATGTGTCCCATGACACCATGTTCCTTCAGCACTTTTTCCCAATGTATGTTCACTCTTGAACACTTTGGTCAGTCTTCTCCCAGGAGTCTTCTCCCATCTCACCCAGCATCTCATAAATCCTAATTAACGTCAACTGTCCATTTTTAGGTTTACAGCCCAATGCACCAAGATCTTTAACAGCTATTAGAACAATCTAATCCATTTTAGCTATTAAAGTACCTTTAGCTGCCAACCCAACTCGTTCACCACTAAGCTCTTTTGCCCCAGAATCCTCTCTGATTTTAATATGACATCTTGGAAGTTGATGCTGACTACATTTCTCTACCTCCTTCTCCTATGAGTACTATGTCACTAGCTGAACCATCTTCTGTTCCTAATTCCTTATCAGCAAAGCAAAGCACAAATTGTTTTGTTTGGGTATCTGCATGGATACATGAAGAGCCAGGGAGTAGCTGTGGTGGACAGCAGGCTTATCATAGTCAGTGTTCTTATTTGGCTTCCTTTAACTTAATTGTTTCAGGCTAGACAATTTTTGCATTCCACAGTTATTTAACCCTACTATTTTGTTTTTCTTTTCCTCAGCATCCATGTAGGTATGTCAGCTGAAGATAATCCTGCATGAGAAGAGTCCTGCGGGATCAGACTAAGGATCTATCCACTCTGTACTGGTTAACCAAGAATATTCAGGAAGCACCCTATCACGTGCCATTGAAAATATGCTACTGGGATTTCAGAGGGCATAAAACGGCCAATATTTTATATATTTATT